GTCAAGTTGGTCAAGGATGAGTCTGTTCAGGTAAGTGCATACCAATAAAAGTGCTCAGTAGAGAAGTGTGTTAATGTGGCATTTGTATCAGAGCCAGAAGGGTGAGGGCAGGGACTCCTTCCAGCAGTGACTCATCCTTTCTTACCCTTTCCCTGATACAAAGGAGGGGGGTGGGCTGAGAATCAGAAATAAAAAGGCACTCATTCACAGGAGAGACTTTTTTGCTTTGACAGAGAAGCAACATCACCTGACACAATACCCTGGCTAGTTTTTCTACCTGGAAGTAAATACTTTCTTACTTAGAGATTATTGCCCTGACACAGTATACATGATATTAATAGCTGGTGCAAACATAGGAATGAATCTGCAGGTGTCTGTTGTACCAGACCTTGCTCTGCTTCAAGACCATGTTTTGAAAGTTGCATTTTCCAAAGAGGACCGAATGAAAGTCAAATGGTAAATCTGTGCAATGGATCTGGGTGTAAGTGCCTGCTTGTAGTGAACCTTGTGACAGATGAAATAGCAGTCTTCTCTTTTTTTATCCCACTGAGCACTTAATACTCCTCCTTATACTGTAGACATGACTGCATGACATTTCCAACCTCTACCTGCATTTCTGGATGTGTTTTGTCTATAGGTTGTACGCAATACTCTTAAGGTGCTGCCTGCCTTATCATTGGTCATTGTTGATGAATAATGATGAACAATAACACTATTTGATAGAGCAAATTCTCAGCTACAGAACACACGTGTTCAACATAGTCACCACCATTAGCCATGCATTTTTGCCAGCAATGAACAAAAGCCTGCATGCTGCACCCGTAAAAATCTGCAGTAGTGAAGGTGAACCACTGTCAGTGTTGCCACTGCTGAACCACACCATGCACAGCATTACTGTGCTCACAGCCACTGCTTGGTCTCTATCAACATTCAGCAAGCATTGATGAATGTCAATAGGTGCAATTTTTTTTTCTGTATGGAAGACATACATTTTTTTCCACATGACACACCTTTGATGCATAATGCACTTCCATGTCAGACACCCTTCTGTCAGACAGCCCCTCTGCTGCCATCCATCACACAGCAAAAACCTCTTCTTAAATTCCTTTATCAAAACAGAAACATGGCTGTATTCAGACAGTGTATCAAAATGCATACAGTTATTTGCCATCACTTGAGTCAGCACTGCATCGTGCCCTCCCAGTGCCCTGGTCTCAGCCCACACAGTGCCAATCACACACTGATGTTCAGTTGGTGCTGACATTGGTTGCACACGCAGCGCTGGGCCAGGCTGCTTGGCAGGGCACTGCTGCCGCCATGATGGTGTGGGGCAGAGGGTGGCTGCAGGGTGGGCTGGCCGGGCCACAGGTGGCTGACTTAGTGCATGACCCGGGTGTGTGGGCTCACTTAGCACAGGAGATGTAGGCAAACTTCTATAAAACTGCAGCTCCTTAGTGGCTCTGAATCATTCTGAGTATTTTGTTCTAATGACTGTAGTACCCCACATGGCTCTACTCCAAAGCTTGCCTAGCATGACAAGAAGCTGCTGAGTTGTAAACACTCAGCTGTCTTTTGGTTGATGTGAGCAGCCCTGAGGCAAGATGTCTGCTCCGTGGTGCAGGCAGCGTGACTGCACACCGAGTTCAAAGAGAAGGCATGGAGCTGTTCTGGCTATGGCCCTTCATCTCAAGACAGCTGTAATAATAATATGTGTGCCTATGTTGGTGAGACATGAAAGTATGTAGAGCTGTACCACAGGATACTCTTGCAAAATGTAGTGTGAATGTGGCTATTGTGGACCAAAGAAGGCTGGGACTTCTTCAGTCTGGATGTGACAGGGGCATACCTACCAGCTTAGGCACTGACATGTTCATCTCAACAAAGTCAGTACGTGTGTTGAAATTTATATAGATTTCTGCACTTAAACTCCTACAAAGGAACTCACAATATCTGACTACTTGGGTATATCTAGTAATATGCCTATCCTAACTTTTGTTTCCAGATCATACTCCTTGTACTTGAGCAATGGTGGTATCTCTTGAGATACCAGGATACAAATTATGTGACAATGGAAATATAAATTGCGCTGGCTGAGACATAATTTTAAAAGAGTTTACTGTCAAATAAAGTATAAAACAACAAGGTTATTAACAACTCACTGAACCTAGTAGCAGCTGTTACGGAAACTTTCAGGACTGAAAGAGCATACTGTTATAGCAGTGCTACTGACCAGTGTGTTTGTCTATGACAGAAATGTGCTAAGAAACATCAGAGAAGAGTGAGAGAGGAGAAAATGTAAAAATAGTGAATGACACCAGTCACGTCTATGGAAATGGAGGAGTGTTACCCCAGGGCTTGATCCAGAAACTTGATCAGTATAAACACTATAAATGACTTAAACACTTTAAATGACTGCTGATTAGAGCAAGTAATCATAGACCCCGTAGGAAGAAAAGAACTCTTGATGCATTTCCAAGCAGCCACTTAAAAAGCCACTCTTCAGTAGTGGCGCAAGTTCAATATCCAAAAAATTTGCAACTTTAAACTATGAATAGAAGGTAACTATATAAAATGAACAAGCATTCAAAAGGAACTTAAAAGGAAGAGCTGAAAGGGTGAAAGTATCTAAAATGAACAAGTGTCCAAAAGGAAATTAAAAGGAGCAACTTTAAAGGTAGAAACTTTCCAGACTGATCTTGTTTTAAAGTAATATAGTGAAAGCTCAGAAGAGAACATATTTAAGATATCTTCCAGAAATCCTCCAGTGAGACATCATCTAGCAGATTTTAATGAATGAGTAGTTTTAAGAAAGGTAAAATACCATCCTTTTTTAACCAAAGATGAGAAGGAAGACCCATAAGGAGTCTACAGAGCTGACGAGAAATGGAGATGTGAAAGGACACCTTATGCTTGAGGCATCTAATGGCACAATAAAACATGAAGTACTTGCTTGCAGTAGAGTTCATTACAGGGAAACATACTAAAGAGTAAGCTGGTGGAAATGTCTCAGAATCAGTGTCCTACAGGGTCCCATAAATTGCAATTGAAGCTGAAGTTGCAAAACGACTAACAGTGGTGTGTGCTGAACTGGCTTTTCTGCTGTAAATATACTGGTAAATGTGATACACCAAGGGAGAGGCACAATGCCTTTTTGTTGGAGGCAAATCATGCCACTGATGATTCAGCCAGCATCACTGTGCTATTGTATTAATGGTCTTTGGGCTGATCACTCCTGAACAGTCCTGAGCAGGACCTCCATCTTACAAAAGGTATAGTGAAAATAAAGAGGTATATTCTTACCCTTCAAACTAATAATAATAAGTCAATTCTCAATGCAAGAACAATAAAAGACTGACCTATTTAGAAGCAGTTTAAACTCAAAACAAAGTAAGTAAACATAGTTTAACAGTGTAACTCATTGCCACAGGATGTTTTGAAAACTAGAAGGATAAATAGATGCCATTTGTACAAATGTTATTACAGATGTTATTGTATAAATTCATGTAAGAAAGGTCCAGAAATAGCTATTAAAAATAGTGACATAGACATGGCTTTCAGTTTAGGAAATTCATAAGCTATGGATCACTGGAGCTTGGAAGTATTTATGCTAAAAGTATTCATAAAAGTAGCACATTATATTTAATTACTTTCTTATTTTGTGCAAGTATGTGCTATGGATCTTGCTTGTCAGGGGAGAGTAGACTGGGTGGATCTTTGACGAAGTGCATTTTTACATTTACAAGTGATGACATTTACTTGTTATTTTTTATCCAAAATAATTTAATGACAATTTGTGCAGTACTGTGGCTGTTACCACTTTTCGTCTTAAAAAAAATAGTAAATAAAATAAAATAAAATAAATGGAAAATTGACAAACTGAACTCATGAGACAGTATGTAAAGTACTGAAATACAAACACAGCAGATATACTGGCAGAGTAGACATAATCTCTAGCCAAAAGAATTATTGGTAGAGCTTCATCCTATCAGATGGAGTTAGTTGTGCATCTCCTACATAACAAAAATAACAATAATAAAATAACAATGTAAAAGTTTTAATTAAGAGTGTGGAAGGTGTGGATTCTAGCACTGTTCTGCTGGAAGAAATCTCTAAGTTGTAAGCAAACCCTCTGTGAAGTAATACTTCTCTATTCCACCTACAGGCATAACATACTACATATCCTCCATATGAACCAGAAAGTGTTTTATGGAATACACATTCCCTGTGGTTGATACTTTGTAGGACAGCAGCAAGAAATGCATTCCTAAGCCAGGTACTATTGAGGTGTTGTAGCTCTCTCACACACAGCTTTCAGAGCTGGTGGTGTTCAGCTTCTTCAGCAAAGCCTACTTCCCAAATGTGATGAAAATCCACAAACTGGAGGTGAGGCTTCTGTTGATGCAATTATATAATATACAAAATAAATCAGATTCCTAGGATAAAAGAAGCTGTTTCTCTTTCTGACGAGAAGCATGAAATCAGTCTTCCAAGACCACTTATCTCAACACAACTGTTCTTTTTTTTTTTTTAAAGATACATTTTTATTTTGGTGCATTAGAAAACCAAGAGAAGTAGACATAATAATGCATAATAATGCATTTTGATTTCAGTGAAGCTGCCTGCTAGAAACAAAATTCCCATGAATATACAGAATTACAGAAAAGAAGCACACTAAACCTCATTCAAATCTGACATGGTGAAATCCAGAAGAAAAAGGCTTTTACTGCAACTGCCAGAAATTCAAGTTTCCCATTTTTCACTGAGGCACACAATAAGTGCACTGAGCATGCTTTATATTTCCCACAACTAGCAATTTTCTGTCTTTGGAAACTTTTAGTGGGAGGAGTTGAAAGGTGCTGTGGGAGGGACTAAAATTCATGCTGAAGTTTTGGCTTGAGAGAGAGAATTGTCAGAGTAGAAGATTTCTTCTGAGGTTTTTCTTTTGCTTTTTCCCTTCTTCTTTTTTGTTTAGTATTATTTTGTTTTGTTTTCAGGTTAGGATGATAAGTATTCATATTCTGATCCTTCTTATAATTCTGTTTTGGAATTATGATTGTCATATTATTCCCAGGATTGAAGAATGTGGACTTTCATGTTCTCAGGTAACCTCTTACTTGTTCTTTGCTATCTCTTAATATAATAGTTGTATGCTGATATAATAAATGTAAACAAAGCAATAAAGGAAAAATAAAAAATATTTCAACTGTCCTGACCATTCACTTTATGTTCCTGTCATTTCACATTAAGTATTTAAAGTGGCAATGATGACTGTTATGAGAAAATAAGAAATTGCTCTCTTTCCAGCTATTGTTGTTGTTCTTACCTTTAAAAAATTGATTTTTGTGTTTGGAAGGCAGCAATAAAACAGATTTAATTTATATTAATTACTTTGGAAATTCGATTTTTACAACAGCAGTGGTGTCAGAGGTGACAGGAGGAGGAATGGGAAGTTGCAGAAATTGCTAATTATGTTAAGAATATTGGAAACACGGATTTTCCTGTGAATAAATGGATTAAACTTAAGAAACAGTAAAAACCTGTTTTTCATTCTGTGGAATGAATATGACCGGACTATTGCATTTAATGACTTATGTATGTGTACAAAATTGGAGTGTGGATTATACCATCACTTCAAAAGCTTTGAATTCTGAATGCTTCCAAATATCTCCACAAAGGGGCAGTATGGGGACATTCTGCTTCAGCTGGCTGTCTGAAAGTTGAAGAATACAGTATACGGAAAGATATACCAGAAAATAAAATAATAGGGTATGAATAACAGGCTATCTCACATTTTCAGTCTGAATAGGCCGGGATAACTATGAAGTTGCTATGGAAAAGCAGAATTAATAGCATAAAAGAATTTGGCTGAGTGTGGACTTTTGCTTGAAAATATGACTGTAGTCTGCAGTCCTTGGGACATACTAAGCATTGTCTAAACGTGATAGCAGTAGCTGGATATTGCCAGTATGTTACAGCAGTTAACTCTGTATTTTATATGTGTATGCTAGGATGTATATGGAGAGATGTATGCTAGATGTATGCTAGGATGTATATGGAGATGCTTATAAAACACTGGAATTGAGGGGAAATAAACTCTCTATTTCAAATGCTGCTTTATATTCCTGAATTTACATTTTGTGCAGTCTTACCACATTTAGATATTGTTTTTAAAATAACAAAATGTAGAGATTCATTTAGATGTAGAGATCCCTCAGAGATTCATTTCTGGATGTACCTGAGCACTTTCCAGCAAATTATAATTTCCAGCAAATTATGTACTTTTGAATGTAAAAGTGCATGCATTTAAAAGAATTTACTCTCTTATAACTATATAATATATACTCTTATATACTTATATAAATACTTATATAATACATACTCTTATATACTCTTATACTTATATACTTATATAATATATACTCTTATATACTTATATAAATACTCTATTGTCTGCAACAATGAGTATTTAAAAAAGACCCAATCTGACTTTCAAATTTATTTCTCTAGAGAGTGGTTTGCTCCAAGTCTCAGAACTCCAGGGCCCTTGGAAGACATCCTTTGTCGTATTTTAGGTATCTATTTTAGGAAGGCTGATTCACTAGCTGCCTAAGATGTTGACATAAAGAAAGGATCCCTTTCTTTGCCTTCCAGTTATTGTCTTGCAACTTTTCCAGTGCTGAAGGTTGGATAAATGAGAAAGCTCTTTTTTTTTCTCTTTAATTTTCAAGGAAAACTCTTTCTTTCCAGTGTAACAGAATCAAGTATAAACACCATTTGTGATGCTAAAGGATAGAATTCAGTTCATGTTCAGTATGTTATGTTTTTGCTAGTTGTATTCAGTAGAATCTTGAATGCATTAATGACTTTTTAAGACAAAAATGTTTTCTTACTGGAAACAACAATGATCTCAACAGGACAAATTACTGCCAGCTTAGCGTTTGCAATCCAGTGCAAAGCATTTCGAGCATTTTGAACTCAAGAGTCTCGTGACTGGGTTGTTACAGAAAACTCCTTCTTCCATTGAAACTAACATCAGTTTTTCTACATAAACCATTACAGTTCCATGGCTTCAATCTTATTCCTACCTGAGTTACTGTAAAAAGCTGCGGTTTATCTTCTCTGTAATTCACAACTCATGGTCTTTGTCAGAGCACCAACCAGGGGTTACAGTTAATCTTTCAATGGATATCCAGTACATACCTGTTGTCTTCTGCTATAGCACACAGGTTTTAAGGTAGAGAATTAATTGTAGTTAATTGAATTAACTTCACTAGCAATTTACTTAATGAGATAATAAGAAAGTGTAATTTTAAAGATATAAGATGCTTTCTGTTGCTGTTATAAATGTCTATTATAGACTTTTTTGTCCTTTACAGAATCTTCCCATAAATCTCCGTAGTGATTTTCTCTTCTGCAGAGTCATCCTTGCGGTTGTACGGTTCCTCGTAAAGCAACAGGGAAACAGAAAGCTTTTTCATTTTTTCTGCATTTTTCAAGCTGTGGCTATTGTCAGAGAGATTTGGGCAAGTTCAGGAGCTAAAAATGTTGATTTTGACCAGCAGTCTAGACGTCAGAGTGACAGTGTCTCACAGTGACAGTATTTATAAAGCAGTTTTGCCATCCTTGGATCCTCGTTAGCGAAGTAAGGCATTGGTTACACTCAGGAGGAAAACAGCGACTTAACTGTTTTGAGGTATGTTACCTAATAAAACCTTTACACTCAACTGTTTAGATTTTGAATCCTACTGCAACTTAACGAATCATTCTTAGCTTACTAGGAGCATTCAGCAAGGCATTTTTGCATGGCCATATACAATATCCAGGTACCATTACTATAGCACAAATTACTTCATCCCGTATAGGAAAGAGAAAACAAAAGAGCACTTCATATTAATGCAAGTATTATGCAAGCATGAAAATATACAATTGTGGTTGAATGATGGCAAAGGAACATACAAGTTTTTATTATGCATTGTGATTTTTTTTCCTTCTTCCTTATTTTAATGGCTTGCCTTTAAAGCTTGCATTATATTCTGGTATTCAAGTTAACTACCATGAGCTTGGTCTTCAGACCTCACCCAAAAGCAAATATAATTATCAACCAGGATTCCCTGTAAAAGCACAGGGGAATCCCAGTCTGCAATTGATACTGTGTTTGTGCTCTACTTGCTTTACAATCCACATTGTTTGCAGGCTGTACACAAAGGAACAAGCTTATGCCAAATTTGACTCAACAGCTGGTAAAGATCATGAGCACTACATTTAAAAAAAAAACTTTCCAGAAAACTATGAAATAGTATGTGTATTGTCTGCCTTTAAATGTAGCAGCATTTCCAAAGTTCACAAATAAAGAAGAAATGAATGAAGAAACTGAATGTGGGATTTTCCTGCAACTATAAAGCTTATTGGCAATAAATTTTTGATATAGCTGTTGCCCGTTCATGCTACTCATAGTAAAAATATGTAGTGTTTCTTGTCTGGATATTTACGTAATGGATCAGACTGTTCTGACTGAATACTACATACTGCAAAACCAATGATATAATACAGCTCTCAGGCTACTAACTCAGCTGACATAAGTAGACATTCATTGTTTTTTGTCAAGGTAAGCAATTTGTATTTTAAAAGTAATCTTAAGACTCTCACCATTGTACATGAGCATCTAGTATCTGGTTTTCTCAGACTGAGATGTATCAGCATGAAGACACAAGAATGGAAGAATCACCACAGGTGTTCTTGTGTGCTAAGGTATACCCAGCGATTGGAGGACACGTGAAAAATATGAAACATATCCTCTGCTAAAATCTGCTGTTGTGCAGTGCAACCCATGAGAGCAGGTTTTACATCCCTGCCTGTCATTGACTTACTTGTTTGGGCCTGGTCCATTGACTTATTTGTGTGGCCCTGGTCAAGTAATTTTACCTCTACAGTTTTCACAAGTACAAAATAGTGCTGACTTTCCTGTCTGATGTGTCTTAATTACATTCTTTAAATTTGCTGCCCTGAATACTATAATTAAATATTAAGTTTTCATTAGTCAAAGCCATACTTAAGCAGGTCTCAAATCACTGTATTAGAGTGATATTAACCAATTTTCTTGCCTGTTCTGCTTGTAGTCAGGAGAGCTGCTGTTTAGCAAGTTTATGTGATTTGTGGTCTGTATTTTGCAGGATCAAAAATAGCTTAACAATGACAGAAATGTATTGGCTTTCATATTTCCTGCTGTTTCCTTGCCATTGGTTATCATACTATTTCCTCACCCTAGAAGAGAGTCAGATTCTCATACAAACAGGGACTTAAACTCTCAAATGTTCCTCATAGTTAGAGGATCTATTACCACTTCTTTCAGAAGAGGTGAAGAAAGGTTTGCAGTTCAAGACTTGCAAAAAAATGTAGCAGTAGCTCTTATTTTTTTCTTTCTCACTTCTCCTTCCTCAAGAACTCTGGGAAAAGTTTACAAGGTCTGGAAGGAGATGAGCTACTGGAGTAGCAAAAGCAAAGGCACTATAGACAGTCATGAAAGTCTGGGTCACAACTAGCTGATTTGAAACAGGACCTGACAAGGTGTCCTGAACTTCTAATACAGGGCACTGCTACTTGTAATTCAGTATGAATTGTGACTTCTAATCATAAAATCATGGATGGTTGAAGTTGGAAGGGACTTCTAGAGATCACCTTGTCCAACTCCTCTGACACTGAAAGGAGATTGCCAGGACTGTGTTCATCTGACTTTTAAATATCTCCAAGGAAGCAGATAATTTTGCAGAGGTAGGTAGTAACTTGTTCTAGACAAGGTGGTATGACCTAGCTGGAATTCTTGCAGTGAAATCAATAATTTGGTTTAATTTGTGAATTCGCTGGAGCTGGTAGTACTGTACCTACTACTTTGTCATGTTGAGTTATACAGTTTTATTCTGTGCTGGTGAGAGAATCAGGAGTGATCCAAAATGAGAAGAACTAAGAAGCGGTTTTAAATAATTCCTTTCTGAAAATAAGCTTTGATAGTATCCTGGCTTTTTGGTGTTTTCCCCAGCATTGAGAAGCTCCCAAATAGGTAGGTAACTTGGACCAAGGGAAGGAGGTCAAAGTTTTTTATTACTGA